GGATTCAGAAACCCAGGCCTTCAGAAGCTTTGGGTCTTTGGGGGTGCGGCCTTTTTCGCACAAGCTACCAACAGTGACAGCTATGCACACGCCTATGAGTCACCATCCAGAAACCGCCCAATTGCCATGACGGAGCGGCAGGGCTATCTTGCGCAGGACAGAATGCTTTGGGGGTTTCTTGGGTTTAGGGTTTCGGGGCCGTGAAGTGGCGTGAATCAGCATGCCTGTTTTTCGCCCTCATACGACCGTTTCCTTAGTTGCAGTTTTAGTCAATCACCAGTCTGGGAAAGGGTCCGGAGTTTAGGATTCGTCGGGGTCTAATGTAACTCACAAACCCTACCTTCATGAGGATTCTAAAAGGGTTTCGAATATTACAGCTTTTATAAGGAACGAGGATTTACTGGTCATCATCCCATACAATGATGACGATCATCATCATCATCATAATCATAATCATAATCATAATCATCATCATCATCATCAGCGTCAACATCATAAACGGGATCTTGAACATTCCCCTCATATTATAAGGCCCTGGAAGACAGCTTATGTATTCCTCAGTGGTCCACATTCATCAATAATGCCGAGCCGAGGGGTGAACCTCTGGGTTCAAGGCAAGGTGCAGGTGCGGCTTAGGGCTTAGGGTTTCGTCAGGATGCGCATGTATCGTCTTCTCCGGGTGTATCCACACACAGAAGTCGGATCGCCGGCTCTGTGGGTGCTCCTCGAAGATGACAAGATGTTTCTCATCCTGTGTTCGCAGCGGACACGACAGAGCCTCATCGGTTGTTACGATGAAACTCCTCCTCACTTCTTGCTTCTCCTCGCTGGACGAGCCGGCAAACCTTCGCGCGCACAGGCGCAGCGCTTTGGCACCCGCTGCAGGCAATTGCTTCCGTGCCAGCCATTGAATCAGCTCAATCAACTCCTGCTTGGTCAGGGAGACGTCCAGCGACTTTTTTCGTGTAGAGGTCTCCCTTCGAGTCTGCGGAGTTGAAGATGGAGGCAGGGTACTGCTTGGAGCTGACGAAGTCCATGCGGGTGGTTGTCAAAATTCTGGTCCCTTTGAATTTTGGGCACCCTAAATATTATATAGGTGCCGTATTATAATAAGGACCCAAAAATGGACCCTAATTTTGACAACTACCCATGTATAAAGCCTCAACCCTATACTGGTGGATAATGTCAGGGTTTAGATCAGCACGGGACACACAAGCTGCGGCTGATGTCTGATGGTTTTGGACGCAAGCCTTAAAAGAAACCAAGCACGGCTTAGGGTTTCGGGTCTTTAATAAGCTTCTGGACCCTAAACCCCAAAACCCTAGAACCGCTGGACTTTCCACTGCCCTCTGCATCACGCCTGCTCGCCAAAGCCTCTCCCAAAAAGCAGCGGCTGCTGGGTCAGAGTAGGTCTCCTAGCAGGTAGGGCGTACGTGTATACATGTATACATGTATGAATATATATATATATATATATATATATATATATATATGTGTGTGTGTGGGTGGGTAGACAAGTAGGTAGCTAGGTAGGTAGGTACATAGGTACATAGGTAGGAGCGTAGGTAGGTACGTAGGTATAGGTAGATAGCTATTCATTCGGCCCCTGCATCCGCAAACTCATACCTTTTAGCGTACCGATTGCGAGCGCTTGGATGTACACATGTGACTAAATCCAGCAGAAATTTCTGGAGCCCTAAAGTAAACTCTCGTGTCCCTCTCACACAAAAACTTCCAGCGCCTGCCAATCCCTCAACCGAAAAATCCAAAAACCTGCCACTACCGAGGGAACCGCAAGCCCTGTCTTTGCCTTAGAGCGAGAAAAGCCGATGACAAAATTGAACAGATTACGCACCATTCCAACATCGGCAACGACTAGGACAAGCTTGTAAAAGCCAGACATAATCAAGGAAACACACTAGACCCTAAACCCACAACCCTAAAGCCCGCAACCCGAAACCCTGAAACATCCTAAAGTTCTCTTCGCCCGAACTCTAAACCACAAAACCCTAAAGGGAAGAAAGGCATGAAGTGTGCTCCTCGGCGAGGGCAGTCCCGAATTCGAGCTCCAGGAAGGCTGGGAGAATGACAAGAGACACCTTCGACACATAGGTAGTTATCAAAATTATGTTTCCTTTTTGGGTACCCTAAATATTAGGTGCCGTATTATAATAAGGACCCAAAAATGGACCCTAATTTTGACAACCACCCACATAGGCCTAGGGGATTTGCATCGAATCTATGAGGGCTTAAGGTTTTGAGGGATTAAGGGTTCAGGGTTTTTGGGGGTTTGGGGGTTTCAGGTTTTGCTGCTCAAGGTCCTGGAGTTTGGGGGGCAATGATATGATGTTCAGGGTCCTATTATGCTGGTATCTTACATTCTGTAGTCCTGCTTGTTTTCGAGAGGGCGGGCTTTCGGGATTGTTGGGTTCCAGGAAGCTAGGCTCCACGATGTCGTTCCTGTCTTTGGTTTAACAAACTGTAAGGAATTGCACTGGGGACTATAGGAAGATGCTGAGATTTCGCGCCTCGGGGTCTTTGGGTTGCTCAAGGCTTCAGGGTTTCAGGGTATCGAGTGGAGGCCTGGCTGATCCTAAACCCTACACGCGCGAGGCCTCTGTCCATTCAGGGTTTTCAGGTTCAGGGTTGAAGGTTTAGGGTCTAGATCAAACTCCTCGGCACTAGGAGGTGCCCAACATCCAGTTTTCATAGACTTGCGGCTTCAGGTTCAGGGTGCAGGGGTTTCGGAGTTTAGGGGACATATTTCGGGGTCAGGTTTCAAGCTGCTTAAACATGGTCAGCCACCTCCAGGTGCAGGGCATCAATGTAGGGGGCTTAACAACTATATTGCACCCCATAATACTCCTCATAGTAACCCTGATAGGACCCGTTTTAACCAGCCCTTTAAAGGAACCCCATTGTTTAGGCCCGCATTTTAGGTCTCCGGGTTAAGGGTGGCCCTGGTTGGTCTGGAGTCAAATCCTGGGAGCGCGGCCTGGAACAAAGGTCCTCCCCAGATGCCACAGATCAAGGCTGGGAATCCCCCGTTTGCAAGATGCCCGGGCATCAAACGGATGATAAGCAGGCTTTATTCGAGTGATTACATGTATCTTAACCAGCTGTCTACAAACTAGATGTACCTATGTACCATAATTAATGTAGCCGCAGGAGTACCTCAACTGGGTCTCTAACGAACTGCACTCATGCACCTGATGCAACCCGACAAGCAGTTTAATTGAGTCTCCAGCGAAACAGACAATGAAAAGGACTTTGAGGCAGATTAGGGTTATGTTGCAGAGTATAGTGTACTTATACCTGGACCCCAAAAGTATGTAGAATAATAGCCTTTTATAGGTCTTGGGCCATTATTTTGCCTACTTTGGGGGGTCTAGGTATGGGACTTTGAGGGCACCCTGTTTTCAGACCCCCATATGGTTCATCCTTTTTCCGCATCACTAAAATGGATGGATCACCCCAAACACACGCCAAATCCTAAACCCTGGACCACCGGACACCACAACGTGGATCAGGCTGACGTCGCACAGCTTTCGGTGTGCTGATGATTTGGGGTTTACGGTTAGGGGACCTGGGTGAAAGCGGGATGCTCCACCCCAGAGCGCTATCCGTAAATTCGACTGAAAAGTTGTGGGGTTTATGGTTTAAGGACAGATATGTGCACCAAATTCGATCTGACAATGCACCTGTTGCAACTTATCCAGGGCCTGGACCATTCAGTTAATGAGGTTTATGGGGCATCTTAATTGAGTTACCTAGGTACTTGAAGGAAATAGTAAATAGTATTGCCAACTCGGGTTAATTACTGCTAATTGTTCGGACCCCTCTGCTAGACAGCAGATCAAGGCCTCGAGTGGTGCCCCCTCTGCCGTGTTTATGCGCCGCGCCTCGTGATTCTTGCGGTTCAACGTTTTGACATAAGCACATGAGACTCCGGTGAAAAGATGTTTTGTACATCAAGCATGTGTAGGTTCTGTCATTCCAGGACACCAGAACTCGAAATCGTACAGTTGGAATGTTTAGGATGCCCGCTGGTGGCAGTGGCGGTAGCGGAAGCACCACCACTACCACCACCACCACCACGACAACTTTGCTGCCGCTACCACTTGCCTCTGCCACTGCCAAATATCTGCTGTGTACTCATTGTTACCCCTCGCATAAGACCGACCAGTCGCGACGGCTGAAACACCACGAGCGACGATACTACTAAGATGAACAGAACAATTTCACTTCATCCTGCCACCACTATGAAGGCAGCGGCTACAGTGACACAGATGCCTGCTTTCCTAAGGGGCTCAGTATCAAGATCCCGGTTAGATCCCGAATTAGGGGCTTGGAAGTGACGGTCTGCGGTCTACAATAAAGCATAAACAACCAACCTCGCTGTGCAGTTCAGTGAACTGAACAAGCTTGCGCTCCGCAAAGCCCCAAACCATGCATTACAATAAGAAATTACAAACCAAAACTAAAAGGGGCCCTGTTTGAAACTTGAACCCCTGAACCCCGCAAACGTACACACCGTACAGTCCAAAAATCAAACCCTGAACCTTCAGCCCTAACCAACTCCTGCACCGTGGTGCTTGAATCAGAGAGCAACTTTCAAATCTTAAGGCCGGAAGTTGGCAGCCCCGAAATCCTATATAACAACGCCCTTTTTATGCTTAACAGCCGCCTCAAAAGGTGTAGCCGCTAGCCTACCCTACTCCCAGTTCCACCCACACGGTTTAGGAAGTCTACTTGCTGTTGGACACACTTTAAACCCTGGACCCGAGGTCTCCCAATCGGGACTGGGCCTGCTCCAGCGAGCGCAACCGTAGATACATGTCATACACGGTGGAGATGTTGGGACCTGATGGATCTAAGAATATCGAATATTTTTGAAGGAGCTTTATTGAATGGATTGAATAAAATCCTAGCACCCATCAGCCCCATACTAGTTCCTTTTGGGGTTTACCTTATTGGAATATGAACCCCAAAAGGAACTACTATGGGGCCGAAGGGTAACTATAGTATACATATAAGGTCTACATGTCCCTGTGCTTTGCAGGGATGGGCCTCCGTGGAATATGTGGGGCAGGCCTCCGACAGCACTGTACTGACACTGGTTCCCAGTCTGAAGATACGAACAAATAGAGGGTCTATATGGCGGGGTTTCCTAAAATAGGGGACCCTAAAATAGTACCCTAGGGTCTATACGGCCACATGGGAGTTTCCGAAAATAGGGTTACCCTATTTTGGGGTCCCTACAATAAGGATCCTACTACTTAGGGTACTATATTGGGGTCCCCTATTTTCGGAAACCCTCTAAACCCTTATAGAGCCCTTTAACCCTTTCAAGGAACCCTATTAGGGTCCCCTATTTTCGGAGACACCCACATACACCCAGCTCCCTGGACAATTGGGGCAGCAGGACTGACCGCCCAGAGTTCAGGGACTGCGTGGGCTTAGGACAGGTTTTGGGGTCCCTATCCGGGCTCTTCTTCAGTATGCGCCTACCAGCAGGGGGAATTCCTTCAACAGAATCCTCGGTCGAACAACCCCCTGTTGTCTCATGGCCATCCGGAGCATAGTTCCACATTGTGGCAGCAAACATCAAAACAGCTACAAAAAACGACAGACCCTTGACAACATGAGTGTCTGCATGTGTTGCCCTACAGGAAGATACTGGAACAGACTGAAGCCCCGAACCCCAAATCGCATTTCTTGCATCTGGTGCCGGATGATGAGTTCATTAAGAGAGAAGAGAGACGAGCTTAAAAGTGCCTACTGGGTCTAGTGTCAGCATTGTTCTTCTTTGAAATTAAGGGTTTAGTGTTGTGATTCGGGTCCGAGGTTCTTCTTTGAGAATAAGGGCTTACTTGAGTGTTGTGATTCCGGTCTCCAAACCTGTGGGCTCTTGTGGATAAGAGCCGGTATGAGTCCAACAAACCTTCGATTTTGCAGAAGACAGGGTTTCGGATCAGGCTCCGCAGAATGTGTTGAGTTCAAAATCCCTGAACCCTAAACCCTAAACCCGGAATTACAGCACTGCTCGGGGCTCAACGCTATTCTTATTGCGTTGCCGCAGTGCCTCCAGAGTAGGTCCACGTCAGCCAGAGCGGCACCTGGCCCAGAATGGATTCCATCGCTTTCTCGGTTTGCCCGCCACCCGTCTTGGCTTTCCTCCATCATCGTCTAGCAAGTGCGTACTCTGCCACTCCACTACCTCATCTCCTCCTCCTTTCCTCCTACACGAGACGATTGCAACGACGACGACGACGACTCGAACACGACGACTGCTACTGCTCCAAGGCCAGGGCAGTTGAGGGCTTGGCAACCGTAGTTGGTGCTGGGAGAATTCCAAGCTTCAGCTACACGTATAGTACGATCGCGGATACAAGTCCATTGAGGCTCAGCTTTCGGGTAGCACCAGAAGCGCGGTGGTCCTTATTGTACTTACATTGCAATAAGGCTGAATTGTCCTCGTTGACATCATGATCGTTTTTGCAAATGATGATGCTTCTGAGACTGACAACTCTCACTTTCATCATCGCATCATGCATGGGGCCATGTGAGCATCAGCACCAACATCGAAATCGTCGTCCGGGTTAACATCATCTTGTCATCATCATGAGCAGCATCGTCATTAACAACAACCAAAACAGCCACAGCACCTTCAAAAAGTACGCTAGTTGCTAGAAGCATACCTCTGCCAATCGAAAACACCTCGATTGTCGTTTCATCGGAACCAGTAGCCACATCGTCTTTAGAGCTGCTACAGTTCCTTTTCAGGACTTTCGGGCTCAGACCCCATGGCTGCGCGTTCATCTGCAAGACTTACGGCACGGGCTGATGGAAATTGGGAGTTCCGTTGCAAATACTGCGCTGAACTCCTTCGACCTCAAACTCCTCAAGCCCCAGACCCCCTGCACCCGACCCTAAAGCTACCGTAGAACCCCAAATGCCCAAACCCGAAACCCAGAAGTCCTTGGCCACCATCAAGAAATCTGTACAGGGGTTTAGGCTTTACGGAGACCCCTTTGAGGACCGAGAGCACCGGTCTATGCGACATGGTGTATAGACCCGGACCAAGCATTGAAAAAACAAAACATTTCATACCCTCCACACAGAGAAGAGGCAGGGAATCGGGGCTCAGGAGGGGGAGGGGTTGTAGTCTCATACTGGCAGCTGAGGGTTTGGGTCTGAGGGATGCTAGGGACGGTACGAACCAGGATTACATTGAGACCGGGAGTTTGAGGGGGTCGGTATGACCCCGGTCCTGTTATTTGAGGTTTACTCTTGGGCTCCACATTATCTTAGACATCCAGATGCATTCGGAGTACTGAAGCACCTGTCCAGAGGCATCTCCCAGCAAGGATTCTTTGGGCTGTCCATCCTCCTGCAACAAACGTTATCGATTTTCGGGCTTGGAAGTAAGGGTTGAGATGGGCTAGGGTTTGAAGCTAACGGCGGTTCCCGTTTAGGGTGTGGGGGGGGGGGACGGGGGGTTTGGCCTTGGGGGGCTTAAGGTTCCTTCTGTTCGGGTGCCAAGCCATGGTCTTGCGGTAGGCCGGTGCAGGCTGTCAGGGCAGGGGTTTGACCTGATCGAAGCTTAGGGTGTTGCGGCTTATTTCGGGCAACTCCTTGAACCCTCTGCAGATGGTTCTAAGCATTTTTCTTCTGCCTTGACTACAGGGCGCTGCTGCCAACTGTGAGCATGTAAGCCAGGCCAGGGGCGACGTTGAGGGTACACGAGGGAGCTGCTGCTGAAGAGGTCAGGGCCAGTGCATCAAAATTCTTGCAGCCTGATGCTCTGCCAGTGTACTCCTTTGCAGAGATCTCGGTGTCGGTTCTTCATCCCCTTCGGGGGGGGAGCTGTGCTATTGGCACAGCTGATGTTCTGCTGTTTGCTGGTGTGACCGTGAATGTGGAGTGGGTGTGCATCCGATGTGTGTGTCGGCAGTATGTTTCGGGACATGTTCCGCAGATGCGCCTCATCCCCCCGGACACATGTGCGGGCCCCTCGAATGCCTGCACCCAGGCCTACACCCTTACCGCAGTCCCAATGCTTGAGTCAGGAGTACAGTCGGGAATCGCTCAGACAGCAAAATTCCGCGTGCGCCTGTCGCATTTTCAAGGAACCCCGCGCCACTGCCAACAGGCACCAGGACCCGCTCAAAGAAGGCCCACATGCTGATCGTTTCGATCATGGGCCCCACCTGTGATGACCAAGCCCCACTGAGATACCAAAATCCTAAAACGCCTGATCTCCACAGGATCTCGGGGTGGGCGGCTGCCGGCAGTGCACCCTAAACCCCTAAACCGTAAACCCTGAGGCCCACATCCTCAACCCGAAACCCATACCCTAAACCCTGAGGCCCGCATCTTGAACCCCGAACCCCCACCCTAAACCCTGAGGCCTAGATCCTGAACCCCGAGCTAGCGCCTCCTCAGTTGGTTCCAAGCCATAAAGCTCATCGACCTGTCGTGTGCCAGACTACACGTCTAAAGAAGGTCGCGTCGGCTTGAGGGACCAGGGCGTAGAGGATTTAGTGTTTAGGAGTTTAGGGGGCGTACCGGGTTCAGGGAATATATGGCTTAGGGATTATAGGATTTAAGTTTTATAGGGGGGTTTATAGTGTTTAGGGAATATAGGGTTCAGGGAATATCTGGCTCAGGGAATATGGAGCTTAGGCTTTCGGGAATTTACGAATGAGGCAAAATAATGTTGCAGGGGTAAGGGGGTTTTAGGGAACAGAGGGTTTAGGAAAATGTAGGGCTTAGGGCGTATAGACTTTAGGGCTTAGTTTAGAGTGTAGGCCTCACTTTACTGTAATTGAAAGAGCTAGTAGCCTCTGAAGTTAAGCAGCTTCGAAACTCAGTGTTCCTTCACGAATGTTTATACATACATATATATATACACACCTATCTATGTTTACAGTTCGATACTGATTTATGTACATGTAATTACGTACACAGTATACGTATCATAAACACACTTACCTTCCTCTACCTATCTACCTCTATCTACCTATACCGGCCTGCCTATACCTGCCTACCTACCTACCTCTACCTACCTACCTACAGCACCTTTCCCTACCCTACCTACATGCGTGCATGCATGCATACCTATGTTACATACAACTACAGACTCAGGTTTCCGAGACTGGGCATGCGTCTCTTCTTGACAGTCAAGATCTTGCGATTTCGGGACACTCTGCTGCGCTTCTCGTGCAACTCTGCCAGTGGCAAAGGTGCCGGCCAGAGTTGTACTTTACCGGGCAAGCCCTCTGCCCTGTCTCGTCTGTCGCCAGCAGGCGGCGCAGTAATGCCGAAGATCGGATGCAGCATTATAAGGATCCATCATAGGCAGGGGGTATGTGGATGTACTCAAGACCCCTCGGCACTGGATGGGCCTCACCCACCTCTGCTCTTCGAAGTTCCTCTTCCTTCCGCAGCTGGGAGGCTTGAGATTCCTGAATCACCCGCTCTACCTTGCGAAGGACGTAGCGGCTGTGCCAAGAGAGCTTCGGCGAATGGCGAGGCATTCTGTGGCGAACTTCCTTGGGGTTCAGGGTTTTCCGCAACTTAATTACGCATCGGTGAAGCAGTCAGTTGTACTAGGGTCGTCTGTCTATCTATCTGTCTGTCTACTGATCTACCTATCTATCTATCTATCTACCCGTATATACACAGCAAGGATAAAGGCTGCAAAGCGTGGGCCATCGTCGCATGATGATATGACCATGACTCGCCCACCACCGGAAGCGGAGATCCAAAAAGCCACCGTCTACGGCGGGGTAGGGTGCGTTCAGACCGGTATATCGTGACATAATGTAGACAGGGGCTGCGTAGAACTTGCATGCGTTCATGATGAGCTCGAGAACTACAAAAGTCCTGCACTCGACTGAAAGCCCTACATGCAATACACAAAAAACCCACAAACTAGACCCTAAACCCGTAAAGCCTTTACAGCCGTAAGCCCGAGCTGTAGCCGAATGCGTTGGCCTTTCCGCTTCAGAAGGTGCGAGCTGAAAACAACCAACCCTTGCTGTCAAGAGCACTCTACTGGGTGTCGATTCAGGGTTTGGGGCGATATCAAGAGTTCCCGAAATTAGTAATACTTAGGGCTCTATCTTAAATAGAGAAGGAAATTAAACATCGTCCCACACGATACTCAGTCAAAACAAATCCTGAAACTCAATACCAGCATGTAAAGCCAATGCCGAATCCGGAAAGTCCGGAACAAGACAAAACCCTAAGCCCCAAACATCACAGAACCCAATTCCAAAACCCTGGAATAACTTTGGCCCCCGAGCGATCTTCATGACCAGATTGTCGGGCAGCCAGGCCTTGTGGGTGTCTCGGGCTTTGAAGGTGCTCTGAGGGGCTCCTAGAGTACGGCTCTACAAGGGCTGGCAAGGTTGTAATGTTGGGATTTAAGAACATCGGATTTACAGTAGGGCTCTAGGATTGTCGGGTTGAGCTTTAAGGGTTTGAGGCTGTAGGGTTTCAGGGTTTTACGGCTGTTTGCGGATTGCCCTGAGCTGAAAGGGCGCTGCAGAGAGTGCAGGGTCCAGGGTCTAAGTCAGGCTCCGAGGCAAGGGTTCCTATGTAGACTATAAGGTAATCAGGTAATCCCCAAAGGGAACTACTATGGGGCCTATGGCTAGGGAGTAGGGATTATTGTGGGTTGAGGCGTGAAAGAAGGGCTTTGGTCCTTCTGGGCTTCTCTAGGAGCTCCTATTGCTAAAACCCAAAATGTGGAAACTCTGGTTTCGATGTTAGGGGGGTTAATACAAGATTCGGAGGAGCGGATTGCTAGATGGTGATGTCGTAACTGTCGTCACCACCACCACCACCACCACCACCAGCACCAGCACCAGCACCAGCACCAGCACCAGCACCAGAACCAGCACCAGCACCGTCATGATCATCATCAGCATCATCAGCACCACCATCGCTTTCAACATCACCATCATCATCACCATCATCATGATGATGCTGGCTATAAACTTTTCGCGATCGCCATCACCATTACCATTTTGCTCTTCTTGAAAATAGTTACTAGGAACCATGGGCAGCAAAGTGCCATGGCATGTCGGTGAACCCTAAACCCCTAAACCCCTGAACCGTAAACCCGCCTTCATTCGACGCTTCCGCAGCAACGGGAGAGGCTGGAATCCGGGGTTGTATTCCATGGCACAGGCTGCCTGCGGGGCTTGGAGTCTTGGGGGTTTAGGGTTTTCTGCTTCAGAGCAGGCTTTGAACATTGGGCGCTGGGTCTCGGGTGCATGTTCTGAAGCTCAGGGATTCTAGTTACTATTGAAAATTGTAGGTTCTTCTTGTTTGCGCGCGTTTCTCTGCTGGTGCTGAAAGTTTCGGGCTTATGGCCCAGCCCTTCCGTCATCGGCGTTTGTAGTCTGGCTTGAGAAAAAAGACTTTGTGTTATACAAGATCCAGGTATCCGACTCCGAAGCCAGTGTCGCCCGAGATCCTGTTCGTAAAGTCTCTGAATCTGTCAAAGTATACCTACGGTGTCCAGTGTAGCTTCTTGTTGGTTTAACTGAGTTTTTACAAAAGATCCTACATGGTAAACCCCCAAAGAAACGTAGACTATAAGTGCCATCTGAACGGCCGACGAAGCTTGCTCTTTTTGTTCAGAGCTTGGGATATTTTCAGGCTGTAGATTTGGCGGGCTGAGAAGCTTTCTGCACCGTAAGTTGCTCATGCGATCACCCTCGTGCTTTCAAACATCAGGCACTTCTAGACTTACCTTAGGTTAGTGAGGAATGGAGGAATGGGGTGCAATTATAACTACTATTACTACCCTTCTTCCATTCCCTACTAACCAAAGGTAAGCAGAGGAAGGATGGAACACGTGAGCGCCCTCATGCCGCTCAGCTCAGAGGTGGCGCTTCGGTCTCCTCGATCTCCGACCATGACCCAAGCAGCTGCTTGACATACTGCACGGGGCCTTAATATTGGAATAGGGCTGGGGGTCATTATACTATAACTCTAATAATAAGGAACCCTCCAAAATAGTATAGGTAATTTCTAAGGCCCCTATATTAATTAACAGGGAGAGGGTGGTCGGCTGCAGGGAGCAGGTCGTGGATGCCCTGCGTGTCTGGGTCCTGTATACTTGGAGGTTCATAAGGATTCCTTTCAGGGTCCCGTTAAAGGGATCTATAGGGATTCTGTAAGGGTATAGGGTTTAGGGTCTACTTGGAGGTTCATGGGTAGTTAGAAGTGGAGTTACAAGCCCCCTAATATGGGTTACAAAGATAGTAGTTACACTACCTATAACCCACGTATAACTACCCATGAACCTCCAAGTACCCGTTCCACAAAGCACGCCATTTCCTGGCATTGAAAGTGTAGTCTGCGGAGCACAACCCTAAAACCTACTATTCCCAAAACCATAAACCCTGAAACCTACTATTCCCAAAACCATAAACCCTGAAACCTACTATTCCCAAAACCATAAACCCTGAAACCTACAGCCCTTTAAACCCAAACCTGAAAGCCCTGAACCCCGCACTAAGCCCTGAACCCGAAATCGCCTGGGCTCCAGCTCTGGGTTTTGTTGTAGCTTGGCCCACACAGGGATTGCAGATGCGACATACTTCTTTCCCAAAGGGGCCAAGAACCCGTATAGTAGGTACCTTGTAGATAGTTGGCCCCTGAAAGTAAACACTGATTGGGTTTGTGACAACTTCGCGAGGGCCATATGATAGGTAGCTCAAGATTTTGAAAAACTCCTACTAGTAGAAGAAGGTATTGAATTATCTCATCTCGGGCAGCGGCGTTAGACGGGCAGCACAAGGCCCGTTCATCATGAAACTGTACAAATACCTGCGCAACACCCCTACTCCTAAACCCTTTTAACCCAGTACCCTAAACACCGTCCGATCCTCAACCTGAAAATACACAAGAGTTAATCAGAATGGAGGTTGTACCGAGGATTGGCCCTCACGACAAGAGTTATTGAAGCCGATAACAATACTTGGTAGGCACTTGCTGCCTGCACAATGCAAACACATACTACTGACGCAGACGAACGCTAACCCCACACTCCAGACCCTAAACCCTAATACGAATCCACAGTGTCATAGGACACTACAAATACCAGGCAGAGGTACTACCCTTAGTGGCATGGTAGCAAAAATCCGTCCATGAACGCCGTGTTCCTGAACTCCTCAAGTTCAAGTCCCTTTCAAGGTTTTGGGCTTTTGGGTTTTGGGGTTTTGAGGGTTTAGGCCCTAAACCCTAAATCCTAAACCCTAAACCCTAAACCCTAAACCGTTAGGATCTAGGATTCAGGTCGTTTCTTTCTGAGGCGCCTTGAGGGTTTCCAGAACGAATCGTTGCACCGCGCCGTGCAAGTCATCCTGGCTCACCGCTTCGGGTCTCCAGGTCCCGGGTTGATGTTACACAAGGGGTAATGTAGGAATCTGATTAAGAAACCTTGGGCTATCGGGTTCCTTATATGAGTCCTACGAGTTTGGGGTTAAAGGCCCAGGGTTTCTTAATCAGGTTCCTTTATTAGCTGGATAGCTTCTGCTTCAACATAGACGAGATAGACTCTGAGCCCAGTATCGTGCACACTGTCTCATTTGACTCATTTGCCAAATACTCACAAGCCGCCATCAGTGAATCAGTCAGCCAGCATCGTAGGCTCCCGATCATGCTTGCAGCCCGATACGAGGTCAGCCACGTATGATTCTCGATGCAACACTAGAACGACGAGCGTCATAAGAAGCAACAGTACCAGCAGTATTACAAGCAGAAGTAATGAGCTGTAGTACTTGTAGTAGTCGCCGTCGTAGCAGTAATACTAGTAGTAGTAGCAGCAGCAGCAGTAGCAAAAGTAGTAGCAGCAAAAACCCTAAACCCTAAACCCTCGACCTCTTCAAGGCCGACCCACATCTTCAGCCGCTCCAGCGCCTGAGAAAAAGTAGACTACCCTAAGGCCCCAAAGCAGTTCTTTTTGGGGGTTCATGTATAAAATCCTATAAGGTAATCCCAAAAAGGAACTACTTTGAGGCCTGTGGGTAAGCTTGTTCGCAACTTCATTCGGTTTAAGGTAGACTGTTTTAAAAAAGGCTTAGCGCATTGTCCATTGTCATATAGGGTAGCTGCCGGGTAGCTACTAAGACTTGAAGGAGTCTTGCAGATTGGTGTAGAAGTTGTCAAAACTATGCGGCTACGGGTATGGGGCACATGCGGCCCGCTGAAAATGTACGGCTCGTCGACCAAAGACGTAAGCCTGGGAGGCAGTGTAAACTGCTCATGAAGCCCATCGACACCAATTCACTACAGCACCGGTACCGGCAGAGCCCTACACAAGCAGATTACAACAATAAGCTGCTCGCAGGAGTCTTCCAAATTCCTCGGCTCGAAATTGGGGCTCTTTGGAAAATGGCTTGCTCATGTCGCAGGCTCTCTGTTCACAGTTTATGTTCGGGCACATGCGGGTACATACATCCCCCCCAAGGCTGGCTATTGGTAAAACAGTAACCCTACTTGGGCCCTGTACAAACAGAAGCCTCAACACACAGACTTGTGGAGATTTTCCTGGCCCTCTCATCAAGTCACGTCAGTTTCTGTGCTACTAACAGTATTAACCTTTCATACCCGGAGTACGTAGTCGCAAGCTACCGAGTGCTTCTCATGGCAGTGCAGATTCAGCAACACACCGCACGCTGTGTCTATACGAGTGTTGATTAAGGGCCTTAATAATCATTGATTTTCGGGTATGCTTTGCTATAAGTGTACGGTACCAAAGGAAAACTACTACAAACTAAACGCTGAACCCTAGCCCCTGAACGCCCTGAACCCTAAACCCTACACAGCAATCAGCCCTGAAGCCCAAACCATTTGAACCACCAAAACTGACCATTAGGGATCCTGAATATAACTTACTTATACAAGAGAAGTCCTTAAGAATGCCCCCGGGACCTAAGACGCGGAACTAAACAAAGACCCGAAATGTTTATAGGGTTCAGGGGCTATGGTTTTTCGGATCAGGTTTAGGTGTGAAGGAACTTACTGAAGGCATTAGGCTTCGAGTATGGGGTTTATCCCCAGAAACGCACCTAACCCTAATACCCTATCCCCATTTATGCACTAAACGCCGTAGTACCGTTAAGAACTACCCTACAGCAACCCAGCCCCCAAAACCTAGCGATGACTCCAGTTCTACGACCTCTGAGACGCGTGCATCGTCGGGTGTCTGCGTCAGCCAATCGTGCAACTCCTGGTCGAGGACTGAAGAGACTGCGATGGAGCGTCTTCGGGTGCAGGGGTTTAGGGTTGAGGGTGCACAGCGCATCGTAGACGAACTCTAGTGCGAACTATAAGTGGCATGCTGAGAAGCTCCTGGACGAAGCGCCAGCCTCGGATAAAGAAAGCTTGACAAACACGTTCTTTCCATACGGATTCTCTTGCGGGTTGTCTAAGGCCCTGCAACCCGTTACATAGTGTGATCTTTGGGCCGTAAAGCCTGGTGATATGAGTCCTTAGATCCCTAAAGCCTTTTAATATGAGTCCTTAAATCCTTAGGGTTTAGGGCTTTAGCGTTTACCTGTCGCCCGGAAAACCTACCTTTCTGAGAAACTATATAAAAGGTAGGTCTTTCCCGCTACAGGTAGGGCTTAGGGGTTTAGGCTTTGTGTTTCTTTGTTTAAGTGTAGTGGCCCTTGGCTTTAGGGTTAAGGCCGAGGGGTTTAGGGTTTAGGGTTTCTTGCCTATTTAAGTGTAGTGGCCCTTGGCTTTAGGGTTTAGGGTTTCAATGTCGCCACGCAACAGACCTCCACCAAAGGCATCTTTTGGGCAGTGACCTCGAAGCTGGCGGCCACCATGTTCCTTAGGAGTTTAGAGGTTTAGGGGTAGTTCAGGGGTTTGGAGTCTAAGGGTTTGGGGGTTTAGAGGTATAGGGGTTTAGGGTTAGAATTTAGAGGTTTAGGGTTTTGGGGTTGAGGGGTTTGTGGGTTTAGGTGCTTTAGAGTTTAGTGTTCCTTGGCAAGGGTCAGCGGGCTTTAGTAAGTAGGGTTGTAGATTGATGTCCATCGATGTACACAGGTATGTATGTATGTCTGTATGTAGGTATGTTTGATTGTTTGTTGCTTGTTTGTATGATTGTTTGATTGATTGCGTGTTTGTGTGTTTGATTGCTTGGTGTTTGCTAGTTTTTGTTTGCTTGGTTGGTGACTTATTTTTCCATACACATATACATATACATACAAAATTTCTTGCGCGAGCCCAGGTGTGAATTTCTGGGTCCCAGGGCTGCAGGTTACTAAAGACAGTCACAACTTTCGCGCAAAAGGCTAGCCAAAAAGGACTGGAGCTCCGTGAACCCTGAATCTTCATCTACGACAGCGCCACGAGGCACACGGGCAAACAAATCTAGTAGGCGTTGCATGCGCAGGCAGCCTGATTCATCTCTGGCCGCTGCGGGCTAGTAAGCATGTTCAGAACAGCTCTGGCCCGACTCAGAAGGAGAGGAAACCCCTGAACTACCAAACTCTCAACCCCACGTCCGAAACAGCCCGAAACCCTAAACTTTGAACCTCCAGCCCTACGTCCGTCGCTATCATGTGCTGAGTATCTTAAACCTCGAGCTTCAAAGCCCTGGCGTAGGTGCTCCTATCTCGACAGCAAGCAGCAACCAGCTTATCGAAGCCAAAATGCAACGGGTGCGGCTTCAGGATACGCACCCCACAGTACTTGGGGTGATCCTGAAATTCTATCCTCACGTACAACCTACGCACTGCATCCCCTGATCCTCCGAGCGCCCGTTGGCACCGAACATTTTTATCCTAAGGCCCCAAAGTAGTTCCTTTTTGGGGTTCATATATAGAATCCTATAAAGTCGTCCCAAAAAGGAACTACTTTGGGGCCTATATGGGTAACTTGACAAATCTCAGCACATGCGGCCTCTCTAGGAACTTACAGGGCTCCGCAGCATTCATGGGGAGGCCTCGGGGTTAATGGGTAGATAGTTCCATGTAGGGTATATAAAAGTCGTGACCGCACTACTACCAGTGATTATACCTCAGGTTCTTGCAAGACCAGGACGTTTTGGGTTTTCCTTGGAAGGAAAGTTGTGCGTAATTGGGGTTTTAGTGTGGCAGTGGCAGATTCTGCTCCTGTTTCTAAGTCGATGAGACCGCTACCCTTGACTTTATTGTTTGTGTTTCTCCGCCTGCGGTAGTCAGTGCACCTGTTGTTGATGAATGCACTGCTATCTTCGCACACAGCTATCGCTGCAATGCAGTTGGGCAGATCTACATTGCTGCAATCCCTGCCTCAAGTCCCAACGCCCTTTCTGCGGTGCTCCCTTGCCGACAGAGTGTCCGTTCTTTCATGATGTCAGCGATTTGGTTGAAGTGCTTCGCAAGGGATGCAACCAAGGAACCTTTGAAAGGAACGCAGCATAATCCAAGAGGCGGGGCACAAGGTTCAGGGTTCAACTCGAGGGTTTAGGGTTTTAGGGTTT